AAAAAAAAAGTCTCAAAATATCTGTATTTATTTGATTTTTTAAAGAAAGGGCATTCGTGTTTCACTCGGAGGACAAAAATACGGTATGTTTAGTCACCAAGCATGTTCTGCCCTATTTCTTAACTGTTTCAGAACTATATAAAAGCTCATACACTGCAGATTAAAATAAAAATTTATGTGGGTTTTTAGCAAATTTGAAGCGAAGAAATCTTAGATTCGAGCACAACATTCATAAACTGAAATAAAAATCTATTTAAATAAGAAATTAATATCTGCGAGCAATTTTAACTTTAAAAAAAATTAGCTCCTCGGAGAAATTTTTGCAAGATTGATTTGGACAAAGGTCTATTAACCCTCTGAAAGAAACTAAAATCTGAACTACCCGATTATTTTTGAGATGAAAATTTATGAATTTCATTTCAATAACAATTGGAAAACTCGAGAAAGCGGATTGCTGAGCGGTACCGACGTCAAAAATGAACAACGAGAAGACTGTCAACGCGATGTAGAGATCCGCTTAAATGGAATTATGTGAATAAGAGAGCCCAAAATGGGATGGAGAAGTTGCCAAATCTGTAGGAGGCGAGAAGAAACGAACTGAAAGTGAAGAAATTATCAGAGTATCAAAAAGCTGAGATAAAAAATTGTTGATACAAAAATACACTGACCACTGATTGGCGGTGGCGGTCGCGGTGTTGTGAGAGGTGTCGGCGGTGCGGGTGGAGGTGGCGGGGGTGGGATTGGTGTTGCACCCGGCGTTGGCATCGGAGGCGGTGGTGGTGGGAAGATTGCTGGTGGTGGTCCGGCCATTCGTGGCGGCAACATTGGTGGTGGAAGTGGTGGTCCCGGTGGCGGTGGAACTGGTGGATGCAGCGTTGGAGCAACTGGCAATTTACCATCCGAAAAGATCTGATTCGGTTTATCGGACGGGAACAGTGGATTCTGTGCAGCGAGCATGCGCTCTGCCGCTGTACCATGCCTCTCACCCTAAAAGAATTTTATACATCAGCTTCACAAAATCAGTCCACTGTTTAAAGCCTAGAAATATCCGTAACTTGCTGAACACTACATTACTGATCACAGACTTCAGGTTAACTGACAGTGATCAAACCCAAAGTCAATTTGAGAATTATAATCGAAACAATTTTGTATAAAAATGATCTGTTTTTTAACAAGCCCACTATATGGAACCGCATTTCGACTAAACTGTACAAATGGCAACGCCAGCAGATTTCGGAAAAGACAAAATTCATCCACAAAAAATTTAAGTACAAACTAATTTTTATGCGTTTTTTGCATCTATGCAATGCAAAAACGCATATTGTCGAGGGGTTGTCTGTG